ATCCCAGCCCATCCCAGCCCATCCCATTCCATCCCAGCCCATCCCATCCCAGCCCATCCCATCCCAGTTCCCACCAGCTGAAGGGGACCCAGGGCCTAGTAAGAGATGCTTGTGTGACACATTGTGACACAGAGAGTGTCACGGCCACAGGATAAAGATACCAGCACCCCAGGGCAAATGTTTGCTGTGCTGCACCCAGGATGGTCCCTGTGATGAGCAGAGGGACAGGCAGACCACGTTGGGGGTCCTTTAGGCACAGTGCCATGGGCACAAGACACCTGGGACAGCTGCCCACTGGAGCAGGGTGAGGGACACTGCCCACCAGCTCACCCTGCTCCTTCACACAGCCCTGAGACAGGATCAGGTCATCGATGGCCACGGTCCCCCCACGGCCAGCCACCCCCTCAATCAGCACCTGCAGGGAAGCACCATGTCAGCAACATCAGCCAGGGGTCCTGCACAGTATGAGGGGGATTAGGGTGACACCAGGGAGCCATGGGATGGGGAGAGCCAGAACCTGTCACAGACTGACACATGTTCTCCCCAGGAAGGGACTCAGTGGGAGCAGGGCGATGCCGTGGTTGACAGGGGGGCACAGCGTGGGCTGGCATGGCCACGGTGGGCTTGGGGGTGGTGCTGCCCCTGTACACAGCTGTGGTCCCCGACCCTGGGGTCAGCCCAGCTCCCCCCAGCACAGCACCAGCCCACCTTGAAGGGATCTGTCACGTTAAAGTCCACTCTCTCCCGGACCCAGCAGCTGCCCAGGTCTCCTGTCCTTTCCCTCATCAGATGCTTGGTAGAGTTGGTCACGTAGAAGATGCTGAGGTTGCTGGTGGCTGAGCCATGGAGGTGGCAGTACAGCACAAGCTGGGGATGGGGAGGAGGATGAACCCTCAGGGCAGGGGCACAGAGCCTCCTGCATCCAACAGAGGGGCTGTAAGATACCCCAGAGCTCCCAATGGGCATCAGAGATGTCACCTAACCACCCTCAGAAACCTGATGCCCATCCTCAGCGAGGGCCAACCACAGCCCCAGCCCTACATGAGGGGCTGGGTTCCAGAGCTGGGAACCCTATCTCCCATCACCACTATGCCCACATAAGCTGAGACATGAGGTCCCAGCTGTGACTCACAGAACAGGAGTTGGTGGCTTGGAAAGTGGGGCTGCTGAGCTGAGCTGTGCCACCACCCCGTGCAGTGAGGCCGCTGCCCACATGGAGAAAAAAACCTGCAGGAGATGCTGGGGCTGAGTGGAGCCAGGCAAATGTGTGGGCGCAGGACACCCCTGTCCTGGCACAGCCTTGAGCAGAGCCCAGGCATGTGTCACCTCAGGGCACATCCACGTGCAGTGGGGCTCTGCTGGTGCCCACCACGTACCAGCCCTGCTGCTGTTGCTGTGGTCCCGAGTGGGAATGCCATAGGAGGTGCCCAGGTTCAGGCTCGTGTTCCTGCCCCACGCTGGTGACCCGGCTGCTGCCTCCCAGCCACAGAGATCGCGGTCAAAGGAGCAGCGGGTGAAGTTCTCTGTGAGAAAGGACAGCAGTGACCCAGAGACCGGGGTCGCAGCCCTCTCTTGGGCAGGTAGGTCTCTGCAATGGGGCTGGGCTGATGCCACCCCTCTGCAAACCCTCAGGGTCATTTTGCCCTCTGGCGTGGGGCAGAACTGCCAGCCCAGAGCTCAGCTTTGCCCCACCAAGGCAGACCCTCAGCCCATCCGCAGGACTCGTCCCCGGGGCCACGGGTGCTCACTGCACTGCGCCGCGCCCTCGTCCGAGCCGTCCCCGCAGTCGTAGGTGCCGTCGCAGAACCGGCTCTGTGGCAGGCAGGAGCCGCGGGGGCAGCGGCTCTCCTGAGCCCCGCAGACCTGCTGCCCGACCCCTGCCGCGGGGGGACACACGTCAGACAGCGGCTGGTCCCACAGGGACATGGCGAGCGCTCCCACATCGCTCCCTGGGGTGGCTCAAGGAACGGGTTTTCACTGCCCACCTCATGCTCTGGCCAGGGCACAGTGCCCCAAGACATAGCGAGCAATGGGAGAGTTCCCCCGGGCTTTGCACCCCACCCAGTTCCCCCAAGATCCCAGTTCACGTCCCAGCAGATGTGGGACTCACCTGGTAAGCCACAGTTCCTGAACATGATGTCATCGAGTGCCACCTCTGCCCCGCAGGTGGGTGGTTGTGTCAGGGAGAAGATGAGCTGTGGTGGGAGGATGGGGATGGCATCAGCTGGGTCTCAGAACATCACCCAGCTCCTCTGGTCCCAGCCTGGGTACCAACACTGTCTCACCTGGAACTGCTCCGTGATCCGGCCGGGGTAGGCAACCAGCTGGTGCCAGCCCTCACTGCAGTGCCTGGGGCTCTGCCACAGCCCCACCACCTCGTCCTTGTGTGCCACAGCCAGGCGCAGCACCGGCTGCTCTGTCTGGTTCTGCCCTGAGGGAAGCCCCAAAAGTGCCCTTGGTATGGGGCATCCTGGGGTGCCCAAAGGAACAAATGGAGCCTCACCAGATCTGGGGGCAGGAGCTGGGACCCCCAGGTCCCACCAGCTCTGTGTGTGGAGCGTGGAAGAGACAAACAGGATGGAAAGGACTCATCTCAAGGTACTGATGGCTCGGTCCTTGACAGAGGGGCAGATGGCCCCATCCCTCCCCGCTGCCCCCCATCCTCACTGCCCAGTAGCTGATGCTGCCTGTGCCCACCTTGGGTGTGCTCACAGCTCCCTGAGAGGTGATACCAGGCTCTGATCTCACACGTGGCAGCTGCTTCCCGCATCTCTGGTGACCTGAGCCAGGCTGTGGCCATGGTCTTTGCTGGGGGGAACATGGTCATCAAGAACCAACCTGGGGAGGGCAGAAAGCAGAGTGGGGGCTGCAGCCCCATGCCAGCACTACTCCTGCCCCTCCATGTGTCTGCTCTGTCCCCTGCACCTACAAGGATGGATGATTTGCTCCCCCAAGTCCAGGGCACCCATAGCCCAGTGGAGTGGTGCTGTGGGTGCCCAGAGGCTGCTCACCAAGCAGCTCCCACTTACCCAGGTCAGTGCCCATGGTGTGGTCTGAATGAGGCCCCACACCCCACATGGCCAGGCTGGCCCGGCCTCGCACCCATCCATATGTCGAGGTGCCCACGTCCTGCCAGCCACAGTCACTGTCCTCAAAGTCACAGGTGAAGGGGGTGCCCAGCACTGCTGAGCCCCGTAAGTACCCTGAGGGTAGGCAGATGGGGGGGGTCAAGGCAGGTTTGAGGCCACCCTGGGGACCTGTGCCCACCCCAGGGAACTGCACCCACCCTGGGGGGCTGCACCTACCCAGGGGACCTGTGGATCCCGGGCACACAGCCTGGGATCCTGCACCCACCTGACAAACTCACCTGCACCCAGGCGACTGGTATTCACCCTGGACACCTGCACAAGGGACCTGCCCCTAACCCCTAGATCTGCACCCACCTTGGTGCCCATCTTGAGGGACCCTGCACCCGTCCTGGGCACCCACAACACCCCCCCACTACACAGCCTGCTCTCACCCCAGGAGCAGGGCCTGAGGGTGGGTCTGGGGGCCTGGGGAGTCTGGGCACCCACCACACTGGTTCTCATCTGAGCAGTCGCTGCAGTCACAGACAAAGTTGCAGAGCTGCTCAGCCACGCTGTTGCAGCTGTTGAGGACAACGGACCCACTGGGGAGGACGGCTGTGGCTATGGGAGAGACAATAGGGCTGAAAACGCTGCAAGGAACCAGGCAGGGTGCACAGCAGGTGACGGAGGGCACGCATGACCTGCATGTGACATTTGCCTGGGGATCTCGGTTTGGGACCCTGCCGGGGCAGGTACTGTGCTCCCAGTGGCATCTTCCCCTGGACAACCCCCCCAACTCTGTCACAGCACCCTACATCCCTCACACTGCCACCTCCCACCGTCAGCCTCGGGGTGCCAGAGCCTGCCGGGGCACTGACTCTGCTATATTGCACCTGTGCTTCGAGTCCCAGCCCCCTTTTGGGAAGAAACAGGAAAATCTGGGCATTTTCTGGCCCACGCTGAACAAAAGCCATTGGTGATCCCCAGCCCGGTGCTGGGGGCTCCAGCACCCGCTCGCCCTGGGAACCCCGGGCTGACTTCACCAGCAGAACCCAGTGGGCTGTACCTGCCCTGGCCCCCAGTGCTGGGGCAAACTGCTGGGGAGCAGCAGAGCAGAGCAGCCAGCACGGGGGTCCCTTCCCTCCAGAGACACAACTCCCCCGTCCCTGTCGGCAGAGCTCACCCAGCAGCACCAGGAGGGCCAGCATCGCCTGCCCGCCTGCAGCCATCCCGGCCACCGCGACGGTAAAACGGAGCTGCGAGAGGCCACACCGTCAGCCCCGGGCTGGAATGTGCTCCCCAGGACCTGCCTGCCTTGGACTTCAGCCCCGCTGTTATCACTTTCCTGGCCGGGCAGCAGGTTTATGGCGAGGCTGGGACAGTGCACTGCAATCCTGTCAGCAGCACCACCGGCACCACAACAGGGGCTGGAGCCAGGTGCCCCAGGGAGACCTTTGACTTTTCCCCGCTGAACAGCTCTTCTTCAGCTCGCTTTCCACCCAGAACAAGACGCTGGCTGCAACTCTGACTGGGACGGGGCACAGCCCACTGGAATGTGCCGGCTTGGTGAGGGATGAGGACACTTCCTGCTGAGCCAGGGATGCTGCCAGCCCTGTGGGGAGAACTGGCACCTCTGGTAGGGACTTCAGGGCTCTGCCAGTCCCTGTGCATGAAGAGAGTGGGAGAGACTTTGGGTGCAGGTTTGGCAGTGGGCTGCACTCTGGCCAGAGAGAACAGCTGAGCTGGGAGTCAGAAATATCTCCAGTATTCCATCTTACCCTGCCCCCTGGCAGTGGGAAGCTATTCCCTTTTGTCTTGCCCTAAGCTCTTGTCCAACGTCCCTCTCTAGCTCTCCCGGAGCCCCTTTAGGCACTGGAAGGGGCTCTAAGGTCTCCCTGGAGCCTGGGGATCCTAAGATGCCATCGGGAGGAACCAGTCCTCACCCTGCCTGCTCTGCTCCAGCTGGCAGGAGCATCTCAGCACCCAGCTCAGGACTTCCAAGGGGCGAAGGGACACAGCTCCAGGGCCACAACCAGGTCATTCCTGGGCAGAACATTCCCAGCAGAGCCCCAGAAAGGGCTGATGAGCCTGAAAGTATAGCTTGGCAGCTAGAGCCCCACAGATCACTATCAGTGTTGCTTGGCGATGGCAACCACTAACCCCACTGGTTTCCTCAGCTGGGCAAGGGAAGCAGGGACTGCTGCACCACAGGACCCCTCTCACCTCTGCTGCCACAGCCTCTGTGCCCTGAGAGGGGCCCCACTGAACAGATCCTCCCATTGAGCTGACAGCCCTGGAAGGCAGATTGCAGTGGGATTGCATCAGGGGCAGTAAACACAGGCTGAGCTCCTTCTCCCAGCACCAGCCAGGCCCAGTGGGGACCAGCAGCCCCACATCCCCCAGCCCAGGCTTGCTGAAGAGCAGGAGCCCTGCTCGAGAACCTGGCAGCACCAAGCTGGCCACAGGCCAGTGCCACGGCCTCCTGGGTGCCATGGGCAGAGCCTCTCTCACAGATCTGACCCCTCCCCTTTGCACTGGAGATGCTGGTGGCCCCAGTATGAGACGTGGGCATACTGGAGCAGATCGAGCCAGGGGCAGTGATGATGATTGCAGGACAGTACAGAATGGAAGGCACAATGGGAGGTCACCCCATCCTACCCCTCTACTCCACAAGAGTACTACTACACATCCTTGAGGATGTGATCAGATATTTTTTGAGTATCTCCACAGAAGGAGATTCTCTGATGATGATGATGATGGGACTGGACTGCCCACAAGGAGAGGCTCAGCTGGACGTGCCCAGCTTGGAGAAGGTATAAGGGGATGTCACCCAGGTAAGCCCTGGCAGGAGGGCACAGGGACACAGGCACAGGCTGAGCTTCTGCAGGCTGAGCTGATCCTGCATGGCTCTGGGTGCACAGGAAGCAGCCCACACCCCTGAAGGCAAAAGGAGAAGGCAGTATAGCACGATCATGGCCAGGCAGGAGCTTGGAGCACACAGGGTCAGAGTCAGACAATGAAATGGGGCTGGAACTGAGATGGGAAGTTCCTCCAGCCCCACATGGGACAGCAACTGAACCAACCCAGCCTGCACATCTCCCTGGAGCTCTCCAGCCACTGAAGCCTCCAGCAGCTTTTCCCAGTCCCCCCCATCGCTTCTTACTGGAAACACAAGCAAGGGAGAATTCCTGGGAAATTCTGAGGGACAGGAGCTGGTCCCGAGGGACGAAGTCAGGGAGGATGCTCTTCCTCCAGGTGTGGAATGGGCATGTGCTTCCCAACCATGTTTCCAGGCAGCTCAGTTCCCTCCCCGCAGGAGATGGGGCTGGTCTTCCCCCAGGTCTACCCTGCCTTTCCCTCCCCCAGGTGTGGGCACTGCTTTCCTCTCTCCCTTCTCAGCCCTTTTCAAGGCAAATCCTGATACACCTCTTGCTGTTCCCACCCCAGACTGTACCTGCTCCCATGCCAGGCCCCCCTCAAGGGGCAGAAAACCTGGCGGGTCCCTTCCACTTTCAACAGGCAGTCCCAGAGCTGGGAAGGAGCAGCCGAGCCGTGAGTATGGCCACCAGAGCAGCTGTGCTCCCCCAACAACTTTAATTCTCACAGATACACGTGGGTTGAGCCCCTGGCACCTGAAGGCTGGGACAGAGCAACCACTGGCTTCACCAGCTTTGCCATTCCAGGGAGGTGGGAGCACCCAGCACGGGGACAGTCCGGTGATGGTGGAGAATGGGCGAGTTCAATATAGAAGAAAATCAGGAGAGCCTGGAGCACGATCAAGCGTGGGGAGCCTGCTGCCACCGCCCCGGTGTTATGTCCAGCTGTGCCAGCTCTGGGCTGGCATCACAGACAAAGGAGTCAGTACCCTTCATCCGCCCAGGTGATCTCGTAGTCGGGATACTCGGCCTTCAGCTTCTCTGTGGTCACAGCGTGGTCAGCTCGTCCAAAGCCCTGCACAGGAAAGAGGGTTCCCAAGGAGCACTGGTGGGTGACCACTTGCAGGGAAGCCTGGCAAGTCCCCAAGGTAGCTCTGGCAGACCCCAGCAGCAGAGAGGAGGCAGAGCCTGTGCCAATCCCACTGTGGCAGCCCTGGCTGACTGCAGCTGAGGCTGGCGTAGCACCCAGGCAAGAGAACAGTGCCACCCTGAAGCTGGGAAGACTGCATGCACTGTGGTCTGGGGACCACCACCCTGCCCTGGTCCCAGCTGGGCTCTGCACTCAGCACCCAGCACAGCCCTGGGCTGGGGTCAGCATCCAGGGACCCACCACACCAGTGATGTCCCTGAGGGTGCCTCCAGTTACCCTTTCAAGGCCCCTACAACACCTGACACTCCTGCAGGAACACCCTCAGGACACACAAAGTGGGGACACGGTTCTTGTGCAGCCCCATTCCCTCTGGCAGCACCCAGAGGTGGGCACAGCCACTGCGGGACCCCCCGGGGGCTCTGTGTGTGTGGCAGCCCCAAAGGCAGGTGCTGGGGGGGTTCACGGGGTGACCCCGCTCTGGCCAAGCAGCGCTCACCCGAAAGGGCTCTGCCGAGTCTCCGCTCCCTGCGGCGCTCGGGGGAACGCCCAGGAGCCCCGGGAGCGCCGCCCTGCTCCCCCCTTCCACCCCCGAGGGGATGCGGTGCCGACTCGCCCGCCGTCAGGGGGACCCACACGGCCAAAGGAGATGCCGCGGCCATGCACGGGCTCCCCCCGGTTTCCGCTTACCACCGAGTAGCCGTAGACGTGGATCTTCCTCTCCTGAGGGCGGTGGGAGAGGCGGCCGCCGCCCAGGCACTCGCAGCTCAGCCCGTGCCGCGCCAGCTCCTCCGCGGTGCGCTCCAACAAGTCGGCTGTAGGGAGGGAGCGGGGGGAACGCGGGGAACCCCCCGCCTCAGCCGCCGCCCGAGACGGGCCAGACCCCCGGCAAGCCCCCGCCCGCCCCCGGGGCCCGCGGCCGCTTCCCTCGGCACCCCGGGCCAGAACCGAGCCCCGCCCCGCACTGCCGACGCTCCTCACCGTGGTACTCGGCCCAGCCGTGGCCTCGCACGACATCCTTGGCGGGCGCGCCGGCCCCGCTCACCCGCACCAGCACGTACTTGAAAACGCCATCGCCATCGATCTGCACGTCCGGCACCCGCGACAGCGCCTCGGCCGCCATCGCTGCCGCCCGCGCCGTGCCCCGCCCCCTCCGCCCAGCGTCCAACCAGCGCCCGGCTCCGGAGACAGGCCCCGCCCCCTCCGCCCAGCGTCCAACCAGCGCCCGGCCGCGGAGCCAGGCCCCGCCCACAGGCGGCGCGGGGTCCCGCCGGGCAGCGGCTCTGGGGATGGAGGCCGGTCCCGGTCCCGGTCCCGGTCCCGGCAGTGGGATCGGCGGCGGGGAGCGGGGCCGGGAAGGGCGGCACGGGCGCCCCGGGTGGCCACGGCCCCGGCTCTGCCTCCTCTTCCCTGATCCCCGCCACGGTCACCACTGGCGATTACCCCCGACCCCGGTCAGACACCCTCCCCCGCCCGCCCCCCGCAGATCCCTCACCGCGGCCGCTTCCCCCCCTCCCCCGGCAGCGTCCCGGGATCCCCAACCCTGCCCCGCTCTGTGCCCAGAGCTCGCGTGGGCTCCCAGGGCCCCCCCAGCACCCGGCCCTCCCGCAGTAACACGCCCAGGACACACAGACACGGTGGGGACACGGTCCTGCTGCAGCCCAGCACGGCCGCTGCGGGACCCCCGGCGCTGAGGGGGCCCTGGGGCAGGCCCGGGAGACTCTGGGTGTGTCCCGGCCCGGTGGGCAGGGGTTGGGGGGATGCGGGGCGTCCCCGCTCTGGCCGAGCACCGCTCACCGGAGCGGGCTGTGCAAGGGCTCGCCAGACTCTGGGCTCCAGGGCAAACCTCGGGCCGCGCTCCCGTCACCCCCCGGTCCCCCCGGCACTGCCGGCCGTCCGCAGCCCCCTCCCCTTGGTGTAAAAGCCTAGGGGGTTCTGACAGGACAGCACGTATCTACAGAGGGGGTGCCCCCCGCCCTGCGTTCACATGATGTCGTCCAGGAGGTTGGGGCTGGCCACCCAGTCGAGGGTGCGAGGCTCGGAGGCCGCCATAATCATGCACATGAACTGTTTGCCCGTCCTCTTGTCGATGGGGTAAATGGTGGTGGGGGTGAAGCGCTTGTTGCTCTCCACGAAGTCGCAGAGCTGCTCGTAGACAGCGGGGAACTCGTGCCGCAGGAAGACGCCGCGGATGCGCAGCTCCCGC